ATGCTGTGAGATGTCCTTTCAAGTTTTTAAGTGTTTTTGGAGATTCCGTCTGAATCCACTACGTTACCTTAATTGAAACGTAAGTATGAATAAATTATGCTTTTTGCTATTATAGACGACGATCCACTGTGGCATAATTCTACGATAAATTTCCAAGTAAGTAAGTCATTTATCAGTCGCAAAAATTTGAGCGATAGCGGTCTACCGTCTGCACGACAGGACCTACGTTACCAATAAAAGACGGATTTTTGATACACGTTTCGAGGCAAAGACGGACTGAAAAACACCTCTCTTACGTTTCACATATTGAAAGACAGACTCTTTATAAATCAATTACGTTTCATTTTTCATCAGACGGACACAAATATTTGTACTTCAAGTAGATAGTTTTGTCAATTATTATTGAGATAAAAATATATATTAGAAAATATCATATGTAATAGGCTAACAGCTTTTGCTTATATTATCATATTTACATTATTTGTATTTTCAGATTGAAATGAGTAGGTACACAGAGAAGTTAAAGAAAACAATAATCCTGAAAAATATGAAAAATTTAAGAAAAAAAAAAAACAAAGAAAAACAATGGAATAGAAAAGGGTTGCATTTTCAGAGGCTCTGGTGCTGGTTCTGAAACTTTCGGCCCAGACAGTAGTACCGGTAACCTCAAGGTGAAGATGCATTTTACATCAAATAGTATTACCAGAAAGGGTGTCACAGCCCGAAGAACAGCATAGAGATTATCAAAGGCTAAGTATAAAGAAAGGCACGGGCCACAAAAACGAAGAAGGATAAGAGAAAAAGTTAGAAAAAGAAAAAGACAGAAGAGGTCTGGGGTACATCTTAAAGGTTGTGAAGTAAATCAAGATCATGTGTCACATAAAAAAAAGAAAACAGATACATGTACCTGTACCTGTAAAACAGTTCAAAAGTTTGTTTGGCGAAATGGATATATCTGCCAAAAAGGCAAAATTTTGAGCAAATACTTAAGTCAAAGACAATTGTCAAAAACTTTAGGACTGAATCGAAAAACCATAAAAAAACGCATTAGAAAGAAACTCAGTGAAAGTGAAAAAATTAATCGTAAACAATTACAGGATCATGTAAGTAGTTTTTATAAAAGATTACATATATCAAGGCAACTTCCAAGTAAAAGATTCGCCACAAAGGCGGGTCCAGCATTTGCCATGCAGGTGTGTCTAAAGGCCGCTTTTGACCTATTTGTTGCTGATTTTCCAAATACCAAAATAGGATATACAAAATTTTCAATGTTGCGGCCAAAGAATGTGCGTTTAAGTCCTGTGAGTCAAAAAGAATATGTCTCTGCGTCTATTGTGTAACATAAAG